CTCCCTCCCTCCCTTCCTTCATCCCTTCCTTCTTTCCTCCCTCTCTCTCTCCCTCCATCCCTTCCTTCATCCCTCTGTCCCTTCATTCCTTCCTTCATCTATTCCTTCCTTCTTACCTCCCTCCCTCCCTTCCTTCATCCCTTTCTTGTTTCCTGCCTCTCTCCCCCCCTCCTTCCTTCTTTCCTCCCTCCCTTTCCTTTCCCTCTCTTCCCTTCCCTTCTTTTTCCAAATCAGGTCGGGCCTTTCCATTCAGCCAAAAAGAGGGCAGCTGAAAATGCAATATTACAACTTAGGGATATTTATTTTAATTTTCATTTTTTTTTTCCCATTTTAATTCCACTCTAAAGAAACAATTTCTCTCTGCTTCCCCCACTTGACGAAACCAGCTACAAACCCCAGATGGACTTTCTGGTTATTCGTTCGGATTTGTTTTAACCTGGGTAGCTGGCTTTCCCTCTCACAGGGGCCCGTTGGCTGCGCAGCGGCATTAGAAAGGGTCCACCGAAGGTCACCTAGACCAGCCCTCGGCAACATGCGGGAGACATGCTGTTAACGGGCCTCAAGAGGGCCAGCCTCTTTTTAAAAGGCTCCAGCTGGGGGGGGGGGACCCTAATTTGACCTCAAAAAGGGGGCAGCGGTTGCAATACCCTCAGAGACCACCAGAGGCCGCCGCCGCCACCCCCATTCCGTGAAGCTCCTGTAGATGCCTTCAAAACGGTTTGATGGTTTGTTTATTTAGTTATTACCTTTAGGTGCCTTCATAAGCCCAGTTTGAAAGGCCCTTAATTTATTCAGGACCCGCCCTGAAATTAAACCTTGAAGGACACGACACCAAAGCCATGATTTTTGGGAGAAGATTAAATTCTTTATTGTGCCTCCTCAGCCCCTTCCGAGCCTGAGCCCAGAAGCCCTGAAGGTTGGGCGTGGGGCTAAACCAGGATTAGAGAGGAGAAGCAATCTCGGCCTCCCGTCGCTCCCTCAGTGGTCATGGTGGAACTTATTGTGGCAATGGATCAAGACCTTGCTGACAAAAGCCATGAATTCCTCGAAGGACACCTCCTGGTCCTTATTCTGGTCCAGCTCCTTGAAAAGACGGTCGATGGCTGCGGGGTCCTTACTGCCCTGAAAATCCCAAAGAAGAACAAACAAGGTTGGTGGGTTTGTTTTTGTTTTTTTGTAACGGTGACAATGGAAACGGCCTGGAAAAGCTGCCTTTCATTTTTTTTCCTTTTTACATTTCTTTTTTTTTTTAAATTATGGTATAAAAACATAAATACTAACAAATGCACACAGTAACATTTTATGGTGTAACGTTGTCAGCCTTCAAGATTTTCTCTCTTAGCTTTGCATCTTGCGGCTGTCATAAGTAACGGGGGGAAGGAGCGGGAGAACGATTATGGGAAGTGTGCTGGAGGTGTTACAAACCAGAACTGTATTAATTGGGGGGAATACAGTCTTGCTTAGATTTCTATTCTATCCTTAGGTTTCTATTCTATGCTATGCGCAGCTGCAAACCTTTATCAAACTATGCCAAGGTCAACGGACAGAAGCCTCATCACCACCTGGAGATGCCCACACGATGATCTACACAACTTTTAATTGGATGAACCAATTGAACTATTGGGGGTGGGAACGTTGCCCTTGCTTTGTCTAGGTGATTTACGCCCCCATTTTCTCAGATTCAGAATTCTTTTGTTGCTACCACTTGACTTCCAGTCAAAGATATCTTTATCTTGAAAGAGTCTAAGGATTCCTTTCTTTCTTGGATTTTGAATGGAGCGCCAGCCGACAATAAGACACAAAAGAAAAAGAAAAAAAAGAAGGTGAGGAATTCAGGGAAGGAAAAGGAAGGGGGGGAAAAGGGAGCATGAAAGAGAAGGGGAAAGAGGAAAAAAGAGAAAGAAAGAAAAGGAAGCCGCGACTTCCAACCCTTCCTAGCACAGTACAAAAGAGATACTCCAACTTTTTGCTTTTGTATATTAATATGGAACAAGCTGTTTCTAAAAACGACACAAACAACAGGGATTTGGGGCTGAGTTCTGGCCTGTAAGTCAAGGACTGGCTGTGTCTTTTACGATCCATTTTGCTCTGTTTTCAATCCAATTTTGGAAGCCGCTGAAAGGAACCTCAAAAAGGGAGCAGCGGTTGCAATACCCTCAGCGACCACCAGAGGGCGGCGGCGCCACCCCCATTCCGTGAAGCTCCTGTAGATGCCTTCAAAAGTTCTTGCCAACCAACCAAAGTTTGGGGTTGTTGTTTTTTTCCTTTGAAGACGTTTCTCTTCTCATCCAAGAAGCTTCTTCGGCTCTCCACCACCGTCCAGTCAGAGCTGAAGAAGCTTCTTGGATGAGGAGCAAAACATCTTCAAAGACAAACAAAAAAAAAAAACCCCACAGAAAGTCCAGTTGCCTCTCTGGGAAAGAGGTGTGATGCAGGGATGGAGCCTGGACTACATAGATCCTCCCATAAGGGATAAAAGCCAGGCTTTGGGGGTTGGCTTCTTTGCAGGAAACAAAGAAGTTATTGCAACTCCAAGTTCTCATGGAATTCCTGTCTATTCTGGTTTGTTTTGGGAGGGCTTTTGTCTCCGGATATTTCCCTGCAATTAATCTTGTGTTCTTGACAGCCTTTCACACCCTCTTATCTGGGACAATTAGTTTTAATGACTCTTTGCTGTGAATGAACAGAATTAACAGCGACACATTGAAAGAGGTTTGCTTTTCTAAATACTTTGTGTTTATTTGATTTGAATGAGTCTTGGGTCAGAACACTCCCTAGAAAGTCCCTTGCTACCTTTCCCTTCCCGGCTTCCAAGATTCTCATGTGCTGGGCCTCCATTTCTAGTTTCTCCTTTCCCTTCCTCTCCCCTGATATTCTAAAATGTTTTTCATTCGGTGGATCAGGAAAAAGTTTTTCTTCTCACCTGGATGAAGTTTGGAAGCTGTTCCTTCAGCAGTTTGGATAACTCGGCCTTGGAGAGCCTGTCATGGTGTTCTTTTTGGATGGAATATTTGTGGAAGACATCGATGATGCATTCGCAGCATTTTTCCATCTGAGTCTGAGACATCTTGCTTCGCTTCTGGTCTGGAAATATAAACGTCCATTTACATTTAAATATATTGATAGATTATCAATCGCTTTATCGCCTGGCGAGGTTGGAAGCCTTCAACTCCCCCGAAGCTCTGAGCACAAAAGGTTGGATTTAGCCTCTGTGGTCCATTTAATTTCTTTCCCCTTCCTTTTTCCTCCCAAAACTCCCCAAAGAATCCTTCCCAAACTTAGAGAAACTTATCAAGAATAGAATTAATTCCCATTAAACAGGAGGTGAGAACAATCAGTTAATGGGTTATCCTGCCCCAGGAATGGTGGCTTCTCCATTGCTGGAGGTTTTCAAGAATAAAGTGGACCACCATTAGACCGGGATGGAATCAGATCTCCTGCTTTTGGGGCGGAGGGGTGGGTTGGACTGGATGACCTCCAAAGTCCCGTCCAGCCCTAGGATTCTATGATATTAGGATTCTACGGTTCAGCTGATCTCTAAGATGAAAGGAGAGGCAGGAGGAGAACCACCAAAGAGACTTTAACCCAAAAAAGTCAGAGAAGGTCTGGAAAAATGGTGGGCTTGCAATGAAGAGCCAACGAGATGTTGCTTCAGTTCACCCTTCCTGGACCTTCCAGGGTCTTTTGGGAGCCCTAGGCTCTTCCAAGTCTCTAGTCCTCATGGTTCTCCCTTTCACTGCTCGGCCCTCAAGGCTGCAAAGCTGAAGTTCTCCAGATCTTCAGACCCCAAAGCTGCACGGGGAGCCCTGGCCCCAGATTCTCCTGCCTGGATAGGGTGACCCCACCTAACGCGTCCCAGATGGTTGCCTTCTGGTTCTAGGGAGGCTTTGAACCCCTGGCCAAGAGCCCCACCCCACCAGGACTCTCCCCGCTTACCTCCGGCGTCGATCGGTAAGAGAGAGCAAGGTTGGTCTCGGGTGGGATGAGCAGCCAGGACACGGTGCCCCTCTTTTATAAGTCCCTCCGGAGGTTTGACCCTGCCCTCCCTTGCAAAATCCTCCTGTCCCTACGCATGCACACGCATGCACACACACCCACACACACACCCACACCCACACACACACACACACACACAGGACCCTCGCAACTTTCTCCTCTTTCTCAAGGCCTCTCAGGGCTTCCTCAATTGTTTGACTTCCTTGCAGGTAATTTTCCTGGACAACAACAACCGATTCTGCCTTGTCACTTCACTATCTGGAGATTGTGTGTGCAAACACACTGGTTCTTTTGCCCAACCCCTGCAAACATCAGGCTGGGCCTGTTTTTATCTTCTTCTTCTTCTTCTTCTTCTTCTTCTTCTTCTTCTTCTTCTTCT